GTTTTCAGTACAGGGACCATAACCGGGGCCCGGAATTGTTCTATAGGGCTACTGGCTCCTCTCTAGAACCGCCCATGCACATCATCAATAAAAGTTAAAATCACAGAAAATAGACAGTCTTGAAAGGACTTGTTTGAAGTCTGGATTTAAAGTGTGAAAGGATGTCAATAATACTGATGTCTGATGGGAAAAAGTGGGAGAAAGCTTGGGAGAAGTGGCAGAGAAAGTTCTGCTGCCAAAGGCAAAAAAAGGGAAGAGGGGGATGGGTTGAAGAATATCCTCTGAGGGAGTAAGGAGGGCTTCAGATTGATATCATTGATACTATTTGATACCCTGTGCAATAACCTGTTTCTCTATATTTGACACCCATTACAATAACTATATATCTAAATATAAATACCCAGTGGCGGTTCTAGACCTAATGTACCAGGGGGCCAGGATGGGGCCAGCGTGTTTTATTTGGGGAACAGAAAAGCATGAAATAAAAAACAAGGCAATGGATTCAAATATATTAAGACAGCTGCATGAAGTAAAATTTCAATTCAATTACATTTTATTAAAATTCTATGTCTTAGTAGATCAATATACATTCAGAATTTAGGGCTTGTACATATTTCTGACCTAATTTAAGTTAAAATAACCGTTTTCTGTAAAATCTGAATTAGAACTCAAGAAAAACTGATAATTTTTTTTTAAATTAGTTTTAAAAAACATTTAGCAGATTAAAAACTAGGCTCCTATCTCAGTACCACTGAAGCTATCACCTTAACTAATTGTATTTAAAAAAAAATGTAAAGAAAAAAAGATCCACAGGACCTATCAGTAACCATGTCTGTTCCAGTGCATATCATCTTTAGAACGTCTTTGAGTATTATCTCTTCAGTTCAGGGGCCATAACAGAGGCCAGGACATGATCTACAGGGGCACTGGCCCCCGTCTAGATCCGCCCATGTAAATATCCATCTATGTAAATACACATTTAAACACCCTGTGCAATAATGATCCTACTATAAAAAAAAAAGCTATCATATAAAAAAAAAAAAAATCATCAAATAAATAAATGTAATCTAACAAAAACTTCCAACTGTTTTTAATATTTTTTGGTTGTTTCTGCATTTTTTATTTTATTTTATTTATTATTTATTAATTTTTTTATTTTTTTTTCCTACTTGCTTTGATTCTGTTTTATCTTCCTGTATTTTAATCATGTAAAGCACTTTGCATTGTCTTTGTACTGAATTGTGCTATACAAATATATTTGCCTTGCCTTGCCATATGTGGACACACTGTGTATACTGTATATATACCATGTGCCTTTTTCTTCCTTTGGCACATTCTTCTCGTTTGACAGTTTGAGCTGATGTAACGAGTATATTTCTCTTCTGTGAGATCAATAAAGTCTATCAATCAAGATGATCGGGTGTCCAGATGGTAGTAAAGGAGTCAGACAGTAGTCTAGTTGTAAAAAAGAAAGAAGGGAGATGGTGGATTTTTTTTTTTTTTTTGGAAGCATATATAGCCTAGTTATTATAGTCTATTGACAATATACATGGTATGGTTGTTACATGTCAGGTACGCTGGTCATTGACCTTGACCAAGGCACCTTAGAGTAGAACTGCAGCCATTCCCTGGACTGGCATGGCTATCACTGCACATAGTTGGGGACAAATGCAGAGGAAAAATTTCCAACTGGGATCAGCTTCATAATTAGGGAAGGCAATGTCTTTGAGTTTATTTATTTTGCTCAGGCTACTCGTAAGCACACAGCCTGCCAAATGTTGAAAGGGCAATATTATTGCCATTGCTGTTAATATATAGTGGACATTTTTACACATTCAGCGATAAAATGTTACAGGGGATGGTAGGGATGGTCATTTAAGAAGGGGGATGATTTTTCAGAATTAAAAATTCAGCTGGAGTCAGGGTAACATTTTAGCTGCAATTCTTCACTGCTTATGGTATCAAAAAAAAAAAAAAAACGGGGAATCATCTACATACTTGTCCTGTTTTCCATTTCAAGCTGTTCAGAGTTCAGTTTGAGGAATGTTTGTTTTACCTTTTAGTTTTTCCCATAAGCGTGTTTTTTGTTGTTGTTTTTTTTAAGAAATAATATTGATGCCTGAACTATTTTAACCACTGAAAAGCAGAGGTGGTCAGTTAACACGTTCTCATGGTTAAACATAACTGTGGTGCCCTTTAGTATTAGGATGCTTTGGCCTTTTTTACACTTTATTTTTATAGCTCCTTATATTGCTTATGCAACTGGTTTGCGCTGAAATGCACTGAAAAAAGGGTGCAGAGTTGCAAAGTTGATGAAAATGTATTTATTTATATATATAGATCTCTCTATATACAGGTGCTGGTCATAAAATTAGAATATCATGAAAAAGTAGATTGATTTCAGTAATTCCATTTAAAAAGTGAAACTTGTATATTATATTCATACATTACATACAAACTCATATATTTCAGATGTTTATTTTGTTTAATTTTGATGATTACAAATGACAACAAATGAAAATCTCAAATTCATCATATCAGAAAATTAGAATATTGTGAAAAGGTTCAAAATTGATGGCCCCTGGTGCCACACTCTAATCAGCTAATTAACTCAAACCACCTGCAAAAGCCTTTAAATGGTCTTTCAGTCTAGTTCTATAGGCTACACAATCATGGGGAAGACTGCTGACTTGACAGTTGTCCAAAAGACGACCATCGACACCTTGCACAAGGAGGGCAAGACACAAAAGGTCATCGCTAAAGAGGCTGGCTGTTCACAGAGCTCAGTGTCCAAGCACATTAATAGAGAGGCGAAGGGAAGGAAAAGATGTGGTCGAAAAAAGTGAAATATATGAGTTTGTATGTAATGTATGAATATAATATACAAGTTTCACTTTTTAAATGGAATTACTGAAATCAATCTACTTTTTCATGATATTCTAATTTTATGACCAGCACCTGTATAGATATGTGTGTGATAGATGTCTACCAGTTCTGCATCAATGATTTTTCAAATTTCCAACTGGGTTTACATCTGAAAATGATTCTGTTCCATGCAGTCATACCCCTTTGGATATACATATCTATTTGAGGAACTTTATTTCTATAAAAAGAGGGAACACCTTAATCTCCAGATTCTCTGATTCAAGCCCACTTAGATCTGACAGGTCATAGCAAAGTAATCCCTCCAGCTTTAATAACGTCCAGTACCTTTAAAAACTTCGAGGTGAACTGCTTCTCATGTCCACGTGCGCGGACGTCATTGCCGCGCATGCTTCCACTGCACCGAGCTCCCTATTGGTTAGGGATCTTTCACTACGAGGTCGTATTCTACTTAGTAAAGCTGAAGGCATCTCTAGGCTTACATATGCTGCTCAGGCTTTAGATCTTAATAAAGGCACTGAAAAAGAAATAGACAAATTGCTCTTTAACTTTGTTTGGAAGAATAGAATACATTACATTCGAAAATCTACTTTAATTAACTCATATGAAAACGGAGGGCTTAACTGTTTATCTTTCTCCACATTAAATAACACATTCAAAATAAATTGGATTCGCCAGTTCTTCGCATCTCAAACTTCTATATGGAATACTATTCCGTATTACATTTTTTCAAAACTTGGGGGTTTAACCTTCTTCCTGGTGTGTAATTTTGATGTACATAAACTTCCCATCAATCTCTCTAATTTTCACCGTCAGGCTTTTTTGTCATGGTCACTTATCTACAAGCACAAATTTTCGCCTCACCGGTATTTTATTTGGAACAATAAGGACATCCTGTACAAGAAAAGTTCATTGTTCTTGGATTCTTGGTTCAGGCATGACATTACTCTGGTTGATCAACTGTTTGATGACAATGGCACATTATTGAGTTATGAGGGATTTCTCTCTAAATTTGACCTCCCTATTTCTTCTGGAGAATACGCAAAGGTTTTTGGTGCCATTTCGTCTGGGATCTGCATGTTATATAGACAGAGGCCAAGACTCGATTCTTCTTCATCACCCTCTCTGACTCCCATGGACTCTCCTGTTGGCAAAATATGTCTCACCTCATCGCTTCGTAAGAACAATAAGTCAGTCAGATCCCTCTTGCAGAGAGAGGTGGTGTCTGTTCCTGCTGTTCTATCATATTGGAACCGATTTGTGTCTGATGTCTCCTGGAAATACACTTGGCTGTTACCCAATCACTTTCTCCTCACTAACAAGGTGAAAGAAGTCTCATTCAAACTTATTCACAGGATTTATCCTGTAAAAGACTACCTAAAAAAGTTTAAACCTGATATTCCTGTGAACTGCACTTTTTGTAATCTTCTCCCAGAAACTGTAACACATTTGTTTTGGTTGTGTCCATACTCTAAGACATTTTGGTTACACTTTTGCAACTATGTGAATTCAAATATTATGAAATATTTTCAGCTTCATTGGAAAAACATTTTATTTGGCTTTCAACTGCAAAGTAAAATGTTTCCCAAACCTTTTCTTATCAATCTTTTAATTTTGTTGGCCAAATTTCACTTGCATAAATTAAAATTTCTAAAAAAAAAAAAAACGGATTTTAAAGCTTATTTAATAGAAGTCAAACAATATTTTCATACAATTCATCTTTCCTCTCATCAGAAAGCTCAAAAAACCATAACAGTCTGTTCCCAACTAGAAATTCTAGACAATTTAATGTTGTAAAAGATATATTTATTTGTATAATACATACACATATATATATGACACTCCCTAGCGCATATGTTTGTATAATTGCTTGTTTATTTTCTCCTAACTGTACTTGTTTATTGTGACATACCCCCTGGCATATTTATTTATTTGTTTGATTGTTTGTTTATATATTGTTCTGTGACTTTATGTGAAAAAAAAAAAAAAAAAAAAACCGAGCTCCCTATTGCTACGCAGTATCTGAGCGCAGATCGTTTTGTGAATCCGGTTCCGGCGTGCCGACAACACCGATGCCCACCGACTGATCGCAGGGCTTTTTTTTTTTTTTTAACCCTAACAGCAAAGAACTGTAGCAGCTGACAGGCGGATGCAGAGGGAGGGGGTTGCCGTTACAACCCGGTGGATTTCTCACGGTCGGCGGGTTTGAACGCTCTTCTGTCCGGATGATACCCCCCTTCCAACACAAAAAAATAACCTATGCTGAAAACTTTCAGCGGTCCGTTTGACGCGGGGGTGTTATTCAGATCTCCAAGCCGGTCCGAGAGCAGTCATGATGCAGGTGCAAACTGTGGGCTAACGGGCACTGAAATGACTTGTTCGGCCGCTGACGCGATCCGTTATGCCATGCCAACCCCGCATCGTCAGATGCCATTTTGCTCTGCGTTTCCCCGGCGTTTGGCTTTCTATTATTCCGGGCCTGTTGTATAATTAGAAGTTCATGGGGCGAGTAGCAAAACAAGCTGGTGCAATGAGAAGCTACGCTGTCAGTGGATCAGTGCGCAGTTTGTGTTGAAGCTTATGGGTCCTGCGTACTCGAGCCCCCGGCTTCTAGTTGGAGAGGTGTGCTGCGGGACTACAGCGGCTACACATCTGGACCGCCTGATCGCTGTCATCCGCGGCCGCATCGGACTGTGTACTCGTTGAACTTGTGTGTTTTTTTGTGGGGGGTAGAACGAGCGAGGTCGCTTCGGATGGTGTCGTGTTAGAGGGGTGTATATTTGGCTCGGACTTAGGGTGTGATCTACTGGAACAACACATCCTAAACCCCTGGCCGGGTCACTACTCAAGAAATAGACGCGTGAGCTATGAATTTTGCGTAGCCGAGTCACGCGTTTTTTTTTTTAATAGTGACATTGCAATCTTTTCCCAACTGTGGTTGTTTCTTCACCCGATTACATCGGAAATAGAGCATAAAAGAGTGAAAGTGGAGTATTGTCCGTCGTACGTCTCAGCGCAGTGGGATTTCTACGTCTGGTCGGCGTTCCCCCCCACCCTTCCCGCGGTGACGGTTATGGGTCGGAAGCGGTGTGTCGGTGCAGATTGTTCCAAGATGGCGGCCGGGTGCTGCGGGGTGAAGAAGCAGAAACTGTCGGGATCTCCCGGGTCGGGGTGTCCCGGCGGGGTGGGGGCGGGAAGCGGGGTGACAGGAACCGGACATTGTGGCTCGGAGTTGGGGATTGGCTCCTCCGCGACGGTTGCAGCAACGGCGAACGTGAGCAGAGCCAACGGCCTGGGGGGACCCGGAGGGAACATTAGCGGCGGTAGCGGTAGCAGCGGAGGCACAAACGCTCTGTCTCCTGCCCCGGCCGGTTACTCTACATCCGGCCTCTCCCCGAACCTCAGCCCAGGACCAGGTTCGGGAAGTGTTGGCAGAAAAATGGTCGTCTCAGCAGAGATGTGCTGCTTCTGTTTTGACGTGCTTTATTGCCATCTGTACGGATACCAACCTCCGAGAACACCCAGGTTTACAAACGATCCCTAGTGAGTATTTATGTCTTTTGTTTTGCTCCGTTTGAACTCTGAGTGAAATTCCCTCAACAGTTGCTTACCTGTCCAAAACTACTTGACCAATCTATGGCACTTTTTGTCCATTATATAAAGCTCGAACTGTCACCTAAAAGCACCAATTAAAAACTGTCGATTTTAATTCATAAAGTCGTATCTTAACTGGCCAAGTTTTAAGTTGGGCCTAGTCAAAAAAGGCTGTTCTGGCCTGCGGCTAAACAAACCGCACGGAAATATACAATTATTTAAGAAAGACTTCGAATAAGAAATGCCCAATATCAATCATTGCTTGATGCACCAATGTAATTTAAAAAATAAATACTAGTAAATAATCATGAAACAAAATATTTTACAGTTTTAATAATCTAAAAAAAAAGGACTATTATTAGCTCATGCTAGCATTCGCCTCTATCGAAGAGCGACTGCTTGTTCCTACAATAAAGCGGGATTTTTCAGGTAATTACCTATGTCAGTTTTCACAAATGCACGAATAAAATGTTTTTAAAAAGTGCATCAATCTTTGAATTAAGGTTTATTTTATCTAGACATTTAACCAAAGTACATTGACGTTGGCATATTGGGCTTAGCCTTGTTAGCTTAAAGCCTTGCTAGCATAGCAATGGCAGATAGCGACTCATTTGTAATTTAAATATATTTTTAAAGGCCTGTTTAATATTTTGACTAAATAACTGTTTGTATTTTCTACTCGTTTCCTTATATACTTTGTTGTATTTTAGGGACATTCTTGTAGAAATAAGGAAATAATCAGTTTTCGCCAAGCAACAAAGAACATGTGCTACATGCTAATTCCTTAGCAGTCTTAGGCTTTATGTTGAAGAAGAGATAATGCCATTGGCAGATGATAAAAACAAAACAGAAAACTGATTTTTGCAAGTAATTGATGGTTTGAAAATGTTTATTTTAAAATGATCAAAAATTTAGCCCCTGTCAATAATTTTTCTCAACAACTTTCCTGTTGCGGCCTCTATAGAAACATTTTGTTCCCTAACTAACATGACCAGGGTAATATGGTGGCATGTGACACGAAGGGTGTCTTACTCACATATTTGAGGGAACTATTTTTATTTTTCGCTTTGCAACCAGTGCTCACATTTCCACTATTTTTTCATTTATGTCTGTTAGCCTCTTAAAAAGAATGTAATCTGTGTACTATTATTTGTTGATACTGAAAAAAATGAACCTAAAAAAGACTTTTAATAGTACTTTTAATAGTTTAACTGTTATTGATCTTTTTTTTTGAGTTAATGCAATGCTTTACACAAAGAGCCTGCAAAAAGTATTCCTACTACTTGAATGTTTACTTTGTACATTTTGTCCTTTGGAAGCTTCAAAATGCAGTCTCTTTTGTTTGAGCCACTTTTAAAAGACCATTATAAAAAGGTGCATATTGTTAAAATGTAAGCTGAAAAAATGGAAAAAAAAGAGAAGAAAAATGGAGTTGCTCCACAATAAAATGTGTTTAGAAGCTCTCTAATCAGTAAATGCAGTTCACCCATGTGAAATGGAACCAAATTATCACTGACGTTTGGTTTAGGTTGCTGAATTTTGTAGGACCTCACTGATCAAAAACTAGAACCAAGAAAATCCTTCTTAAAAATCTAATATTTTGACTTATTTTTAAAAAAATACCCAAACATTCTTTAAGACCATAACAAGAATGGTCTATATTGTTCTTCTTTGGGGAAAATCAGGTATCATAACAAGGCATCGCTGTTAAAAAGGATTTTATGTTCTATATGGTTTTTGTGTGATAGTTTATATTTATGGAATTTTTTTAATAGCTTTGGATGTTAGATGGAAAAAATGATCCACATTTATGAATTTAGTACGCCTAAAAAAAAAAATCAGTGATTCTAGAAAGTTAGACATTTGTTTTTTAAAACAAAGTTAGACATCTTTGTTTTAAAAAAAAAACAGCCTCTAACCCTTTAAGCTGTGAAATAAAGGCTCACAAAGGTTGAATTCTCCTGCTTTTCCCGTCTTTGATACTATGGCATGCAGGTCATTTTAAGAATTCACTCTGTCAGCACCTCTGTCAGAGCCTAATGGTGTGGGACTGCAAAGTGGAAGGACGCAGTCTTTGGACTACCATTTTTACCTGAAGTGATTTGCATGCTTCATTTATTAATGATACTGGATGCACTGTGTTTTTGTGACCAAAAAACTGAAAAATACATATTTCTCATTTGAGAACATGTTATTTTTATTTCACCTCACTTGTTAATCAAAAGATGGTGAGATATTTAACCCTTAATGACCTACATTAGAACATTCGCTGTATTTTTTATTTTTTTTTTTACAAGCTGTAGAGCCATTTTTTTTTAAAGCATTTCAATATGTAAGACAACAGAACTCTTACATTTCAAATGAACCAACTGAAAAATTAAAATCTTTTTTTTTTGGACATATTTTCTGAATACAGAAAAATACCATCTCTATCCCTCGAAAAATTGTAATGTAAAAAACTTGGACAAAACAATTTAAAACCAGTGAAAATCTTCATTGCAGTGTGTCTGAAGCTTAATTATTTAAATACCCTTCATTTTGTAAACAGAGATTAAATGAAAATAAAAAGAAATATGTACATTGTGAAACATTTGAGAAATTATATGTACTTCTAAAATGTTTGCAGGTGTGCAATCAAATCTTTAATATTACCAGATACATATGAACACATTTAAAAGTGTAGATAATGACAGATCATTTTTGTTTGGAAAACAAAGTGTTATGAACCACAAAAAAAAAAATCAAATCATTTTTTTTTGTGTATTAAAAATTTATGGTGGTATGATGGTGATATTCTTTATCAAGATACAAAATGCAAAATTTAAAAACACAACAGGAGCACCCTAACCCTATCTATAATGAATTATTTACAATACTGGAATCGCAGGCTCAGAGTAAAGCTTAGTTTACTGTGGAAGAGTGGATCAGCTGATCCAGTCTGCCACAGAGCTCCTTGTGCAACAGATAGCTGTTTATTACAGAAATGTCCACAAAGAGATGCAGCACTGTTGGATACAACCTCCTGTTCTTTGTACTTGAGGAAAAAGAGACAATCAATTGGTCAAAAAAAGGTCGTCTACTAATTTAGTAATCAAGTAATAATTGACTGGGGTATAGCAACCCACTTAGAGCAGTAATTACATATAAATATTTTAAATTTAAGATAAAAAAACAAAACAAACTTTTTCATCTGTCATTATGCTCTATCCAGTACTCAAGTGGAAAGGTTTTAGTTTCGCCTGGTTTAATTCTGTAAAGAATCAAAGAACCTTTTGCTATCCGATTCTTAACCGATCATTTGAAAAAATGATCAACATATTAAGTGATTACTTAATCTTTAGTTGCAGCCCTAGTCTAGATTTTTTTTTTTTTTTGCATTTTTATTTGATTTATGCAAAATAAAAATAGCATTTTCAGGGGAAAAACAGTGCTCCAGGACTCGATGTGAGTACAATGTTCAATTTTTTTCCTCTATGATTTGAAAAAAGAAAATAAAAAGATTGCTCTGTCTTATTTGGTCGCAATTATCCAGGAACCTAAAATAGATGTGGAAAAGGGAGCATAGGTGCCCCTGTCAGTCAGAAAGGGTTAATAAATGCACCAAACGTTTTCCATTGAAAAATAATTATTTTTTTATTAGACAGCAACGTAAATTAGCTTTAAGAATGCTGCAGACTCTAGAAGTCACATATGCTCTTTTCAGCATAATTTCCATGAACAGCAGTCAGCAGCGCAGCCTGAATAGACTAGTTTAATACGCCACTACTTCGTGGGGCTTAAAATTTCACTGTAGCGGTTGACTCGTAAAGATGTTCAGTCACACAGTAAATTGCTGTCCTGTTCATGTTTGCCAGTTGATTAAAACACACAGGCATGCAGCCTAAGCTCTATGTTTCATCATAGGACTCTTAGCTCAGTTTACCTTTGTCTTCCAGCTCATCGTTTAGTTTTGGTGATTTGTGAAACATGCACGCTGAAATCTAAATAGCATTTATATTAAGCCGAGAGACTCTACAGAAGGAAAAAAAGTTTGATCTTAAAGTGTTCTTAAAGTGCGAAACCCTTCAGATCTGTAACATAATCGTTGTGGTGATATAAAAGTTGGATGTGAAGTGTTAACAAGAATTTTCCATGAATTTCCCAAAGCATTAGGAGCATTCAAGTTGGAAAGTGTAAGGTTACCGAATCAGTTGGTTATCTAACCGTCATAGTATTGCCTCCAACCAAAGATCAGTTTCCTGATGGATAACAAGATAATCTCTGCTGCACGTGTGCAAGCTCCATCTGGTCTGAGAAACTGGTGCGTTTGGTCTGTCATGTCCTGGACATGTCCTTAACCTCAGGGGGTGGGATGGGCTTGTCAAACTGAATTATTGAGATCAGCAGCGGCATTGGTCAGTGCTCTCTGGTAGGGTCCGGGAAACACTTCAGGGGTCGTGGATTGTTGCAGTTTTGTCACATTTTTGAAAAAAAAATCAACTATGATAGTCCTTTGTTTTAAAAGCATTTTTTTTACCCCCCTTCAGCTTAAAGTTTAAAAATCTTTTTTTTTTTTTTTAAACCTGTTCCAAAAAAATATAAACTTTTAAATTTTTTTTTTTAATTCACCTACATTTGGAGCAAAAATAAACCCCATAACAGCCATTTCTCATGGTGTCTAAGTTCAGCTGATATAGTTACTGATGTGTAGGGTTGTCAAAAGTATCGAAACTCAAAAAAGTATCGATACTGAAATGTTGTATCCGGATACAATACTCGTTTTTTAAAGTATCGATACAGTGCTACCACCAGTGGCACCTAAGCAGTCATTCATCTAAAGTGCAGAATAGAGGAAAATACACTTTCAGAACACTGTGTGATTGAATAATTCTGTGCACTTTTCAGTTTCAGACTTTTTTTGTAACAGGTGCAGCTGCTGAGAATTATTTTTGTTTCTTAACCGGTTTGGCTAGTGTCATTGTTATGTGTACAAAGCTTAGCCAAGGAAGCAACACTTGATTTTAATTTTATACGTTTTTTTATCAAGCTTGCTTAATATTGTGCACAGCATAAAACCTTTATTGTATTTATTTATTGTATTTTATTTAGTAATGAAAATATTTCTGTAGAATTTTTGAGACTTTGTTTTTATCCTTGTGGTATCGAAAATGGTATCGAGTATGGAATATTTTCCTTAGTATCGGTATCGAGTTGAAAAGTTTAGTATCGTGACAACCCTACTGATGTGCAGTTAAATAATAATAATAATAAAAAAGTTGTGTCTGAATCTAAATCTCTGTCACTAGAATCAATACATGTTTCCAGTTGTTGCTTAAGACTGTTCTTAAAAATGAAAAGTCAGTGCAAATGTAAAGAAAACACAACATATTTACCATACTGCAATTTTGTGAAGTACTGTATTATATAGAAAACAGTTCTTGTTCATTTGAAGGACTTGAATTTAAGTTTTAAATCTGAAATGCTGCATTAGATTATGAGACTGATGTAAATTAAATGTTGAAATACAAATACATGTATTTTATTTATTTTTTTGTAGTTGAGTGACAGTTGTTTTTGTGTTAAATTTTAATTAAAAATTAACTCTTGCAAATAATTAGGAAAAGGAAGGAAGGGAAATCTGATTGGCGACTGCATGATAGTTACTGGTAGCACTCTATGCTTTGCAAGATCCTTGGTTCAAATTCCTGGTTGCAACCTTTTCTTAGCATCTTCCTTGCATGCATGAGTGGGTTAGCTCCTCCAAAAATATGCATGTTGTGTTATTGCTCAGTGTAAACTGTCCTTTGTGTGAGTCTGTCCAATGTGTGTTTGTGATTATAAGATAGGAATAATTATTTAATTTCACCTGTGAAGACACCGTTGTAGTAATTACTTAAATTATGTTTTGTGACCAGCAACAGGTGGGGGAAGGGTCAGCTCACTTACTTAATGGTTTACAGTTGAAGAAAACTGGTCACTTTGGTCTCAAACGCTTTTGAACCTGCAGCAATGTTTCATTGCTCTGTTGTTCTGGTCACATAAAAAACACACCTTAGATCATCAGGAGAACCAAATCAATGAATCCACTTTATTTTACTTTTCTGAAATTATTAGATAGCAGAAAAATGTGCACTGGTTTTAATTGTTCCAACTTAAATGTAATATCAAAGCGATGATGTATTTAACTTCTTTTTGCGTAATTCTTCCTACAATACCGCCGAGCTGATTTTTTTTTTTTTACTTGGTTTTATTTTTCTTTGCTCAGTTTGCTGCCTTAATGCAGCGTTTAATTGCTCTCTTCATTGTCATTCATAGCTTTGTTTATACATCAGAGGCTGATTAATTGGTTATAAATGTAGCACCACTGCAGGGGTTTCTGTTGGGTTTTCCTCAGGCAGAGTAATCAGAAGTGATCTTTTCATAAGAAGCGGGAAAATCTCGGTTACAGCATAAAAGAGGGGAAGAAAAAAAAAATTGTCTCAGACAAAAATAGTTGGTTAAGCGGATGGCCCCAAGCAAAGAGAGAAAGGCTTTGATGAAAAATGATCTGTCATGATAAAAGACAGTTTAGCTTATTTCTATCCCATGAGGTAAGATTCTTCTGTATAAAGCAGGGGATGCCTACAGAAGGCTCTTGTGTTTTACAGAAATGTGTGTGAGAATCATTTAAGCTAAGCAAATGTAATGCATTACTTTTTTTTTTTCTTCTTCTGTCTTCCAGCCCGCTGTTTGTCACATGGAAAATAGGCAGAGACAAACGGTTGAGGGGTTGTATAGGTACATTTTCTGCCATGAATCTGCACTCAGGACTCAGGGAGTACACCCTTACCAGGTAAGCTTGAAAAGCCAGAAAAAAAAAAGATTCCTTACTGAATTAGACGGATGATATGTGGGGTTTTTGGTCAAATGTGTTAAACTGGATAAAGGGCAACAAAACCAAAGACGTTTCACCTTCTTTTAAGGCTTAAGTTTTCTTCATGCTGAGTAGAATCAGCAGCCTCTTTAGGGCTGAGCACCATGACCATACTGTTGCTGTGATGAATAATACCATCAGGGATCGTCTCCTCTCCCACATTCTTTCTGCAGCACTGCATCACCAAACATACAGTTAAGGACAATTATCTTCAGCACAATGGATCCTGTGCCAGATGGCGTGGGGCCCCCTCAGAGGCCTGATCTCAACTAGATGAAGTCAGTTTGTCAGTCACTCTATAGACACTTGAAATAATCTCATTTGGACATAATCAGCCTGTAAAACGTTACACTTGATCGTTTTTATTTTTGGTTTGAAAGAAGAGGCCTTGAAGCATTCAAACTGGGCCTTTTCACAACTAGGTCTTATGATTGTTTCTTTTGTGGAGTCCCATTTTTTTTGTAATTTTTACTTTTTAAAACATCCAATTTTCCCTGCAGATGTATGTGAGTTTTGGATTAGCTGTGCACATGGCCGCCTGCGTGCACTGTCACTTCCATGTAGGTCGATCTGCAGACTTGCCGGGTTCCAAATTAACACCAGCTCAGAGCCAAATGTTGATAATATGGCAAGAGAAGATGTGTGGCCTGCTAAGTAGCTTCAAGCTAAAAGCCCTTTAATCTTTTATGTTATAATCCTTCTCAATTGAAAGTGTATGATCCTCCTTCACTGCCAACCCTGCAGAGATAGCAGGAAATGGGATAAGATCAGCACGGCACCCGGGGGTTAATTTGCTTCCCGGAGATTTTCAGTGGTTTTTGGGATCATATTGGGGCGCCATGTTATGTTATGGGTGTGGAATCAACATTCTTTTGACGCCTCAAACCTGAATTAAACATTCCTCTTCTTTGCACATCTATCAGTCCTTCAGATGCTCTGATAAAGCTTGATTAGTTGTGGAGGAAATGGAGGAAACTTCTTTTAAAAGCTGGACTTTTTTCAACTTGAAGCGGTGCAGCTGTTAAGCACTTTGTTTTCTTTAAATGTTTAAAGATTTCTTTTATCCTACTTTTAAATGTGAAAGTGCATTATTCATCACTTCGTTTGTTCCCATTAAGTCCCACACACAACGATCAAACAATTAAACTGTTCAAACACTGACTTATAGTGGCTTTTATCTGTATCCTGCTCTAATGCTCGTGCTTTTTTTTTATCTTCGTCTGCAGTGCCCTTAAAGACAGCCGCTTCCCCCCTATGACAAGGGATGAGCTGCCTCGCCTCTTCTGCTCAGTGTCTCTTCTCACCAACTTTGAAGACGTCGGTGATTACCTTGACTGGGAGGTGGGTGGTTTCGCAAAGCCATTGGTTCACATTTCTGAGAGCTTTTTCTGAAGCTAATTGCTTGAGGTTATTCTGTGGTAAGTCTTGTGAAATGCCAAAACATAAAGCAATATACATAACCAATGCCTTACAACAAAAAAAACAAAAAAAAAAACACATCAACTTAAGCCAATGCCTGTTTTATTTATTGGGATTTTATTGGAACCAACAGATCCATGCATTTTGTTTGCATTATTTTGAAGTGGGAGGAAAGTAACATGTTTTTTTTTGTTAAATACTCAAAGAAAATCTGAGAAGTATTTAGTCCTGTTGGAATTAATGATATTCAGCAGTAATCCATGAAGTAGAGAGTCCCCATGTCTGTAATGATAATAATAAAAAACAGACAGATTTACATCAGAGTTCTATTACAGTTCTTTAATTCAGTTAAAAAGCTATTGCAAGTGAACCTACATTCATTGTCCAATCCAATGCTTTGCTGCTAAGAATCAGTAATATTCTTTTGATAATTAAAGACTTTCAGCTTTAATTAAAAAGTTTTGAAAGCACCATTCTTTAAGATTTTTCTTCTACCTAGTCTGAAATCTACAAATCACTTTCTTTCCACTTCTTGTACCCTCCCTATATGTCGTTTGCATAAAAACTCAACACACAAAATACTTTGTGGTTGTAATGTGATACATTATAAATTATACGAATTATACGATAAAAGAAAGGTTAGAAACACATGATAATGCATTTAATTTCTATTGTCTATTCATTAGAATCCATACACCCAGTTGGTTTCCCTCAGGTGGTGTTTTAGCAACTCATTTTTTGATGCAATTGTCTTGTTGTCTTTTGCCTCCCTTTGCTTCTAGGTGGGTGTTCATGGTATAAGGATAGAGTTTTTCAATGAAAAAGGATCAAAGCGTACCGCCACCTACCTACCAGAGGTTGCAAAGGAGCAAGGTCAGCTTTTTTTGTCTGTAAAGTGGATTCATTATGCAAAATTAACTTTTTGTAAATTCTTTACTTCTATTTGGCTTCTCGATATGTCAGTGTGGATTAAAAAAAGTTTTCTTTTGCATTATGTAATGTTTAGTTAGTGACTAAAGCAAGCGGTTTCAAAAATGTCACAATGGCGTCCAAATCATTGGACTCGCCCCTAGCCTTGCAACACTAGCTAACTAAAATGATAGCATGAATACAAAATATAACGCATTTACCCTAAAGTTATGATTATTATTGTTATAAACCACATACCCAACATTACCATTATGACGTGCCAAAATGGGAGAAAAAAAAAATCACAGAACGGCTTAAAAGAACTAGTGGTTAGTATGATGCTAATTGGTATTAAAAATTCTATAAAAATGCTAGTCACCATGGTTTCATTTTTCCCCTAACTTAAAATAACGAAAATGTCTCCAAGTAGCATCTGACTGAAACAAATAGCAGGGTTTTCATGGTCATTAGAAGTCATTAAATAATTTTTTTAATTAAGGCTTGAATTGGCATTAAAATGCATTAAATGTGATTATTAATGGAATTTAAAATGCTTTATTTAGAAAAAAATATATTTATTAAATGATATATATATACAGGTGCTGGTCATAAAATTAGAATATCATGAAAAAGTAGATTGATTTCAGTAATTCCATTTAAAAAGTGAAACTTGTATATTATATTCATACATTACATACAAACTCATATATTTCAGATGTTTATTTTGTTTAATTTTGATGATTACAAATGACAACAAATGAAAATCTCAAATTCATCATATCAGAAAATTAGAATATTACTGAAGACCAATAAAAACAAAGGATTTATAGAAATGTTGGCCAACTGAAAAGTATGAACATGAAAAGTATGAGCATGTACAGCACTCAGTATTTAGTTGGGCCTCCTTTGGCCTGTATTACTGCAGCAATGCGGCGTGGCATGGAGTCGATCAGTCTGTGGCACTGCTCAGGTGTTATGATAGCCCAGGTTGCTCTAATAGTGGCTTTTAGCTCTTCTGAATTGTTGGGTCTGGTGTATTGCATCTTCTTCTTCACAATACCCCATAGATTTTCTATGGGGTTAAGGTCAGGAGAGTTTGCTGGCCAATTAAGAACAGGGATACCATGGTCCTTCAACCAGGTACTGGTAGCTTTGGCACTGTGTGCAGGTGCCAAGTCCTGTTGGAAAATGAAATCTGCATCTCCAAAAAGTTGGTCAGCTGCAGGAAGCATGAAGTGCTCTAAAACTTCCTGGTATGTGGCTGCGTTGACCCTGGACCTCAGAAAACACAATGGACCAACACCAGCAGATGACATGGCACCCCAAACCATCACTGACTGTGGAAACTTTACACTGGACTTCAAGCAACGTGGATGAAGTGCCTCTCTTCTTTTCCTCCAGACTCTGGGACCTTGATTTCCAAAGGAAATGCAAAATTTACTTTCATCAGAGAACATGACTTTGGACCACTCACCAGCAGTCCAGTCCTGTTTCTCTTTAGCCCAGGCAAGACGCTTCTGACGCTGTCTGTGGTTCAAGAGTGGCTTGACACAAGGAATGCGACAGCAGAAACCCATGTCTTTCATACGTCTGTGTGTGGTGGTTCTTGAAGCACTCACTCCAGCTGCAGTCCACTCTTTGTGAATCTCCCCCACATTTTTGAAGGGGTTTTGTTTCACAATCCTCTCCAGGGTGCGGTTATCTCTCTTGCTTGTACACTTTTTTCGACCACATCTTTTCCTTCCCTTCGCCTCTCTATTAATGTGCTTGGACACTGAGCTCTGTGAACAGCCAGCCTCTTTAGCGATGACCTTTTGTGTCTTGCCCTCCTTGTGCAAGGTGTCGATGGTCGTCTTTTGGACAACTGTCAAGTCAGCAGTCTTCCCCATGATTGTGTAGCCTATAGAACTAGACTGAAAGACCATTTAAAGGCTTTTGCAGGTGGTTTGAGTTAATTAGCTGATTAGAGTGTGGCACCAGGGGCCATCAATTTTGAACCTTTTCACAATATTCTAATTTTCTGATATGATGAATTTGAGATTTTCATTTGTTGTCATTTGTAATCATCAAAATTAAACAAAATAAACATCTGAAATATATGAGTTTGTATGTAATGTATGAATATAATATACAAGTTTCACTTTTTAAATGGAATTACTGAAATCAATCTACTTTTTCATGATATTCTAATTTTATGACCAGCACCTGTATTTGCAAATATGCAAATATCTTGCTAAATATATTTGCATATTTGCGTGGAACTGCTTCCGGTTGAAAAGAAGCTCAAGGCGGAGAAAAGGCTAGAGAATGGGAAAAAATATTTCAACAACAGTGTCTGGAAATCGAGGAACTGCTGAGGGTAAAGATGAAGAAGGAATTTGCCGTGTATAAATGACAGTCATGGCTACTTGTTGATGGAATTAAAATTATTTCTAAGAGCATTAAAAGAGAATTAAAAAGCATTAAATTAGAGTTGCTCATTCATGTATAAACCCTGAATAGAAACCAATAGAAACGTGGCTGTATGCATTGCTCTGGAAACTTCTATGCTTGTCCTGTAGCAATAGGACTTGCTTAACATTTAAGAGCCGCTTCTTTAGCTTCTGGATCTGACTTGTGTTCAAAGATGTACAATTCACCATTGTGCATAAAAGAGACGGAGCCAAAAGACTGAAACAAACGGAGTGAGTTTAAGCTAAAAAAAATGGTAATGGATTGTTTTTTGTTTTTTTCAGGCCATAGACCTCTCCTAACTTGTTTAAAATTATGCATAATAGCCCCCCTATAGCACAGCTGTGCATGAAAACATAGTCCCACATGTGCTATTCTTTTTCTTTCTAGGTTGGGACCACATTCAAACCATAGATTCTTTACTACGAAAGGGAGGCTACAAAGCTCCCATCACAAATGACTTCAGGAAGACCATTAAGTTAACCAGGTATGATTTGAACCTACCTTATCAACAATATTTGTTTCAATGTGTTCTTTATCACCCAGATGCTTAACATTTTCAACTAAATAAATCTCGATTGCAGTGTAAATTGTAGTTGATGATAAAGCTGATTGATTTGTTTCTTTAATGTAGACAAAAACTTAGATAAAATTATCTTACCTGCAAGAGTTGCTTGCATGAAACGGAGCCATGGAGATAGGAGAGTTACAACAGTTAGCTGATCATGCTAGCAGTGCTATTTATCAGAGCATGGATACTTCTATGGTGTTACTTTTTGGAAAGGTTTAGCAGTTCTAAGGAATTGGGGTTTACATGATCTGCTCAGTGGCTCAGGCACCAGTGGAAGTTGGTTTCTTTTTTCCCCCCTTAAATTGAACCAATTTGGGAAACTTTACGTGGCTTTTAAAGCTAACATTGTGCAAAAATAATTAAGTGCGCTACATTTAGTACATAGAAAATGATATTTAGGTTGCTTTGTTTGTCTTTGATCATGTAAACAAAATTGAACATCTATAAATATTACATGAGTCAGACCCCAGATTAAAATATACACACGGCTAGCAGAACTAGTATATAGAGTAAAACCTCTCAATCGGCAAGCTTTTTTCGAACGGTTGTGTATTTTGTGAAATGATTATCAAAAGTATCACGTCTATCGCTGATCTACATGTATTTTACACGGCTGAACTATTGGAGGCCCTCGCAACCTAACTAGTGACAGGACGGTTAAGATAGGCTGCAAGAATGAGCCCAAAAATATCCAGGTTTTGTTAGGCTAATATTTAAATAATCTGTATCGGCTGTAAAAGACCTGCATCGGTTGATGATGACTGAACGTCATCAGTGAAAAAACACTCAATTATAGACTGTAATGTATTGAAATATTGGAAAAAGTTTTAAAGGTGTCATATTATAACACATTTGAAAATAAATATTAACAGTGAGGCCTCCAGAGCATGTTTCTAATGTTTAAACAGGAACATTCCTGTCAGATTGGGCAGACAGAGTGTGACCAATAACCTCCCCATTCATACCTCTTCTAAACAACCTGTTTTGGCTTTAAATGCCTTCATAATGATGACGGCTGAAGAACGGCGTCGATCCCTTATCCATACAGGAAGCACGTACCATCAGCTCCTTTGCACAACCAGATATACATCCGGGTCGCCCTCGATTTTATTTTGTGAAAAAAGACCTAAATTACATTTTTCTCTCCCCAAAAATGGTAAGCATACTAAACTATAATGTAAATTATATTATTATATAATTAAAGGTTAATAATTTATTTCCTGAGGAAATAGCTATCTTAAAATCCTTTCTGTTTTTTCACTCATCTGTGCCCGATCTGAATAGGAAATGGGATCCTACGCTACTTCCGGGAGCTAACTTTTTTCGCTTTGGATTTAAACAAAAATCTACTCTTTTTGAGTTTTATTTTTTCCTTTCCTGTTAACATTATGGTGAATAGTGTGTAACCTAAAGAAAGAAACAACTAAAATGCAGATAAACATGGTTTAATCATACTACTACTCAGAGCAAGTCCAATGATGAAGTCACACAAAAAGTTTTCCAGAGAATATGTAAAAAGCATCAAAATTGTCTCAGAAAAATCCTAAAATGTTTTTTAAAGATATGTATTAATGTTATTTCGTGAGTTAAGATTAGGAATAAGTAATTTTAGCACCATAATTACATGAATGAAACGGATATATATCTGGTTGCACATGCGCAAATGAGCGGTTTGTACGGATCGTGCTTTCGGTTTGGATCGAGTAGTTACAAGCGGAATGATACAGAAGACAAAGACCAACCATAACCGTTAAGTTTGTACAGAAAGCACACAATATGAGCAGCTTGATCACAAACCACTCATTGCCATTAATTTATTATGTTAATTATGATCGGAAATACAGGCAAGTCTCTCTAATTATCTCAACACAGAGCATGCCTTCTGAATATAGAACAATCCCATTTTCAAGGAACCAAACAACCTTTCAATAAAATAAACAGGTAGCCAGTTAGCCTGAGCTGCTATGGCCTCTGTGCAGTGATGAACTAACCAAGTTGCTACTAACAAGAACTAATTTAACGCAAGCACACAATCAGAATTACTGCAGATATCATGTTAGGAAAACACTGTTTGAGAAGCACAAATATTATCCACCTTATTTAAAAACCTGCTTAAAAAAACAGCCGAGGACACAAACGTTAGCTGCAGTGCTAACATGTTTACAGGTTGAGCAGTCCAACACAATAAAGTCATGTCCAGCTCTTACCTACACAGCTTTGTAATGGACAGTTGGTATCGATTTACTCTTCAATTTAAAGAATGTGGAGAAGCCTGCTTGTGAACACCCATTTTGTGAAGCACTCCTCTCTGAAATGCTTTAGCTTAAGCATCCATCCTCTGAGTGTTTTTATTTTGAGCACACAATAACTAAGAGGTGGAACAATGCGGGCAGAGAGGGGGAAATGGAACCTTATGTACAGGCTTCAGGACACATGTGACTGTTCGAAAATGTTTCCAAATAAAATGTTGCATAATATGGGACCTGTAAGATACATATCACCTCTATTGAATGAAATTATACTCTAATATATATTTATATTGAATTATTGTCCCCCCTTAATTGTGCAGAAAGATAATTGGCTACATTTTTCAAGTCCCGTCTTAGGCCTTATTTGCACACATTTTTATTTATTTGGTTAAACAGAAAAATGTGTTTCTACTGCTCTTGCAAAATGTTTCTGGAAGAAAAAAAAGGCACATTTTGAACACTGATTACATAGTCTCTTTCTTGTCGTCAAACTTGCCGGACTGTCTTGATTTCTGTTGAAATGTTCAGCTTGGAACCAAACATTGATCCTGCCTTTTATGTACAGTTCAGTCAGGTGGTCTTTGTGTGGGAGTAGTGTTATATTTGTGTGCACGTTTAGTTAAAATGAAACATACCTACTAGTTGCAACGTTTTCGGGTATGTAGAAATGTCACTTACACATTTTGTTGATGGAGATAGAAAAAAGATCATGTTTGCACAGGAACATTGTTGTTTAATAATGCTGTCTTATTTTTTTAGCTCACCACAAAGGTCTTATACTCATTCTAACTTGGTTAGCTTTGTTCTTTGAGCCCCCAGTTTGATAAATAGATGGAATAAAGACCCCCTTTCTTTAATTTCCATCTGAAAATGTACAGCAAAAATATATTCAAGTAATTCTACAGTTAACAGGTCTCAATGCAAACTTTTGCTACCTGTGTTCAGGTAGTGTATAAAAGTATAATGTTTTAGTGAAAGCAATAGTGCAGATGTTACCGTGCGGTTAAAACTAACCTGGTCCAGTATGACTTATAATGAATAAAACATTAACCTTTTGAATTTAACGGCAATAAATGGCTTGCGGTGACCCATCTTAAGGCTCCACCAAAAAGTGCATTGTGGACATTTTGTGCATTGGAACACCGATGCTTCTCAGAGGACAGACTAAGCTTTCTCTCTCTCTGCTCTTTCAGGTACCATAGTGAGAAGATGACAATGGGTTATGCAGAGTACATCGCCCATCGCCAGCACCACCACTACCAGAATGGCATCGGGCACCCGGTGCCGTCGTATAACCATTATTCCTGACAGCGAGCCGCATGACCAATCATTGGACCTCTCCGCTGACCTTTTCCCAGGAGAGCCCGCCCCCTCCTGGTCTAGCTATTTCTACTACTGTACCATTTTATGATGATAGTTTCCGTTGCCATGCTGGCCGTCTCACAGACGTTGACATGGCAACGGGTGGCAAGGAAGCATCATTCGATTATGGCAAAAAGCCATGTTTTTCCCTTTTGTTTGCCTGTGGCTGAGCTTTTGCAGCATATGTAAACCAATATCTTTAACCTCCCCCTCCCCTCGCTCATTTTATTTGGAAAATAAACCAACGTTAAACTATTATTTTTGCATCCTTTTAGCAGACCTAACCATTTATATGATTCTGTGGATGGAAGCAAGTCTCCTTGGGCGGATTTAGGCTTTGCTCCAATTATACATTAACTAACACATTTATATTTTCTTCTTCTGTGTTCTGTTTCATCCTTTATCCTTTACTATCCAGGCGTTTAATATCATGTAGCAAAGGCAACTGCAGTTTAAAAGGCTGTGTCATCATTTATTTCAATTCCTCTCAAAAACTTGACAGCCGAGGTCGCTTTAGCCTTGTAAACTCTCGTAGTTTCATAGTTTGGAAATGTATCAGGATTTATGTGTATTCCAAAGTGTAGATAGGATTGTGGCGCCTTTCGGTCAGCCTGTTGCTGACGCCGTTTATTGATTTGAGTCACAATCGAGTGTATTTGTGCGTTTCGCCATGTGTGGATTATAGACATCGCTTTGTCACAAGAAAACCAGTAGAATAAATCAGAAATTTAGTTTTTGCGTAAAGTTTAGTCAGTGGATGAAAAAAAGAAAAAAAAAGAAACGTTAGATTTCAACTTCTTTTTTGAAACTAGATTTGGTTTATTGTGTTGGAGGAAAAAAGTCAAGGGGCGATGGAGAGAAGTTTTTTTTTCTTTTACTGTCAGGGAAGTGTTTAAAAAAAGTTAAAGCCATATTCCATATTCCACTTTTTGTCAGTTATTGCAAGCATTTGGTGCTGAGATATTCCACTCTGTTCTTTCACTTCTGATGTCCTTAGGAAGAGGTTATGGGTGATGTCACGCATGACGATGTGAGTTGATCAAATGTTTGTGTCATTTAGAACTGCGTGTAAATCAAGTGAGTGAAACCCGGAGCGGTCGATGACTATTTAGGATCGTCCAACCGGCGCCGCAACCGTTCTCTTCCCTCTCCCAGTGAGATCCGTTGATCCGTGTGTCTGCAGGACAGGGAATGTTCTAATTTGTGGTCTTTTTGGTCGAAAGGTTACAGATCAGCAGTTGTCTATATATATATATATATATATATATATATATATATATATATATAAAGATCTTTCTTAGGTTGTATAAAGCCAGTCCTTATCCAAATATTATCCAGGTGGGAGTTAGACCAACACGCGCTCTGCTAGTTAGACGTACTTTAACGAATGTTTGATCCGCTGAGGATCACCACGTTATCGTTCTGCTCGTTTTTTGTTTTCCGTTACAAACTGGAATTTTTTGAGAGGGTCTTGTTACTTGACCGACGTCTTGTGTCGTAACAGCCTTTTACTAACTGACAGGCTCTTTTTTTCTTTATGCAAAAATGTCAAGGGCTTTTGGCACTCCATCCACAGTCACCCAGAAATATCCCAGACTTCAGTTGTGTTGCCTTAAACGATTTTTTTAAACGATGGGCCAGGGGGAAGACGCTGAGTGTTCCTCTCCTTTCCCAGCTACTTGAACGCCACACTTAGTAGAGATCAGGGGGGCTACCAAATCAGGCGTCGGACGCTTTCTTCAACATACGGTAGATGCAGCGCACCGGTTGCTCATATCCTACGCTTGGGTTTTCTCATGTAACCGTTAAAAGGAAATGCTATCTTACACTACAGAAGAAGGGACAGTCAGGCGTCTGCTTTCCTGGTCCATTAACTATAGCACAACCTGAATTTCTCTGCTGCAAAATCAAATTGACCATGCTCTTTTACATATATGTCTTTGTATACACATGCAATGTATTTAGTTGCATGTATGTATGAATATGAGACCTATGGTTTTTATCCATGATATGCTTGATCTATGGCTTAGACACTCTTATTAACCATTAAGAGATTTAAAAGACAAATATGGTGCTATCGGACCTCATATTGGGGTGGTCACATCTCGTGACTGGTCATGCGGACTCATTGATCATATCATATACTTAAAGATGCGACATGTAAGATTTTCTCTGTTAGTACCTTGCTGTGAACCAAGTGGCGTTTTAATACCGAAGGACGACTCGGAACGCAAACAGCCCTGGAAATCAGCTCATTTGTGATGGTGGACGTGGGCGACATGGGGATCAATTCCATACTGGAAAACAAAACGACATTCTGTCTTATGATGAAGAAAGACTCCTCCAGGGCTATGGAATGTACTGTTAATGGTAGAGCAACTTAACAGTGAATCTGTCATAGGAGAAAATCCTACATGTTTACCTTTTACAATCCTTGAAATATGCAGATTTGTTCAACAGGTGTTTTTTTTGTTGTTTTTATTTCTATTTTATTTTTTTCCTAACAGTGCAAGTCAACACTGTGCAGGTTTGAAAGGACAAGAAGTCACACACTTACCTCCTGTCACCGGTTACTCCCTTCACTGTGGCCCAACCTCATGGCCTAGTTTGTCAAAGTTTGATGCATGTCGTTCACTGGCATATGGTGGGAAGATCCGAGGTTCCTGGTGTATTTTTTTTGTTTTTCAAAGCTGCTGAATCAACTAACCTCTTCTCAAAGGGCAACATTTACGTTGTTTACCTAGTATGAGGTCCTGTTGCTAAGGCCGTTTGAGCGCCTCTTTAAACCTTACTGAAGGGCAGCATCACCTCTACAGAGATGACTTTTTGTTGTTGTTGTGTAAACAGAAAATACCCCAACAGTTGGAAGCATTGATACCTCAAGGAATCGTAAGGAACGACATTGGTAGACTGTTGTAGCAGATCGTGTGTTTTGGTTCCATACCTGGGTTTGGAGTTCAGCCTCGGCATTCCTCGTGCGGTCATCCTCATGTCGCGCGGAGTGCTCTAGCTCTAGTTACCTTCGTATGTTCGACTGAACCAAAGATGCCAGCGGCCATGCCCAAATGCTGCTTTTTTTTTTTTTTTTTTTTTAGGCCTGGCTTCCTGTCCTTCCAAAAAGAAAAACAAAAAAAAAACATCCCTGCTCATGATTAACTTTTTTTTTTTCTTGTGTGTGTGATTTCTGACTTAAGCAGCCCAGTTTTGTCAATGATTTTTCATTGATTCTGTCTCTGAGGCCGTTCATGGCATCAAGACGGTGAAATTGGATGCAAATTGTTGTTACTTGTTTTGTTATTAGTATTATTATTATTGCTATAATTTTTCAAAAAGGAAAAAAAGAAAATCCCATGGTGTGCCTCCTAGCTTTATGGGTTTATAACTTTTTCTTTCTTTCTTTTTTTTCCCTAAAGACCAGCAGTTATACTTTGTATAAAAAGACGGATTTTGTTCCTTATTTTTTATGCCATTAAAAATGAAAAGGCCTGTTTTTCTTTACTCGACCCAGTAGCTGCACTGGTATACAATCGCACTGATAGAATTATGAAAAAGAAATGAATCAATAATAATAATGATAATGACAAATAAGAACTACAATAAACTTGTGTTTGAAGCTTTTATTAAAAAAAAAGTAAAAAACAAAAGACAATAAAAAAATGACTGTTTTTGTACATCAAAATAAATTTTTTTTCAAAGGAATATTTTGGATCTAGTTTCAAACTTATTTTAGTGGTTTTCTATGTTCTGAGAATTTTGAGACACACTTCTAAGACGTGTCGCTGTACAAAATGACTTTCTGTTGCAGTGGCCTGATGGGCTTGGAGGGTTACCTGGTGTAACTCCTCATACCAACTTTTATTTCCTTTGTCGATTTTTGGAACTTATTTTTTTTCTCTCTCTGCTTTAGTACTCTGAAGAAAAAAAAAATTTGATGGAAAAATATGAATTGGGAACTTTGATTCCATCCCTGTAGAGCTAGACCCTTCCTTCTTTCCCAAATGAATTGCTGTTAGTGTGACGGGACTTGGAAATGGGCATTTATGATGGTATGACTCCTAATAGAGTAAATCTTAAAAAGAAAATAAATTGTGAAGAAGACTGATAAAAAAAATTCTATATATATCGATTGGTTATCTGTAAGCAATGGATGTGAAGATAATGTAGTTTTAAACATTGTTACCTTTTAAGATCATTTATTCAATAAAAAAAACCGACTCAAACTCGGTTAAACGTGTCTTCTTGTCTTACAGCACATCTGCCAATGAGATGAGGACAGGTTACTTTAGTTTAATTGTGACTGACAGGAACAAAGACATTTATTGGTTTAATCGGGTCTGAGGATTAGAGGTAGATGCATGAAAGATGTAGAGCAATGATTCCTGTTGCACCAAAAAACAAAATACTTATTTTAATCAGAGTATAACTTCAAGACCGTAAAGCTCCTGCTGTATTAATCAGTTTCAGCTGTTTCTTTTTTTAATTTAGGGATGAGCATCCTGTGAAGAGACCCCAGGGCAGGAAGGGCCACACCTCTACTGGAATAGCACATCTTTATAAGCTGTTGCCAGGTTTGCTGCATCCCACAACTCAGTCTCAATAGCAAGAAGGTCTCTAGAAGAGACGGACAGGGTCTTCACAGGTTCCAACCCATCAGAAGGACCCTCTCTTTTTTTATTAGCCAAAGAACATTGGAAACGTAACGCTTTCCTCTGGTTAAACACAAAAAAAGGATTTTTACCCTTCAATTTTTTGACATGACTGAATAAATTTAACCAGACCCTTCAAAGAGGTTCTGATGCTGGGCATAGTGTATTACATCCAATTACCGAACCGTTGGATCTACCCACTCATTGGTTTGCCATCTAACAATTTGTAAGATAAAATAACCACAAGAAAGAGATGGATTTTTATTACATTGGTTAGTCAGGAATCTTGTTCTGTTCAGTTCTACAGCAAATACTGATGTGACAGAACAAAACTTAGGAGACGGAGAAAACTGAACAGACTGAACATTTTCAACCAAACGAAAAAGAAAAACTTTTTACAATAATGTTAAGTTCTTGAAAAATTGCTTTGATATATATTTTAAAATTTACATGAATAGGACTCTGCCCTTTATTATCTTAACGTGATAAAACGGACAAATCTTAAAAACAGTAAGTTTATGAAGTTAAATCCATAAATAAAATTATATATATATAAAGTTTTAGCTCTTTATACCTTGAAAGGAACAAGATGTCCAAAGTCAACATTATTTATTCATTTTGTATTTACATTTTAACTTATGCCAATGTATTAATCTTCAATGTGGAAGTCCGTGATACATTTTTTATACACATCGATATATTTCAAGTATTTTATTCATTCCACATACCAATAAAAAAAAAAAAAATTTTGTTAACAGCAGAAATTTGATGTAAGCCACTAAAATGTATTGCTTCAGAAGATGGTCTGTCTGCAAGTTTATCTCTGCCATAAATATGAGCTCTAGTTTTGACCTGAGAAACACAAAAGTTTTGATAATATTTCTAACTTACTGAGAAGCGCATGTTTTACTTTATCATTTTTCTGATTTCTGAACATTAAGCCAACAAAGTGTTTTCCTGACCTGGCAGCTCGTTCCATCAGAAGACAATCAGATTTGTAAGAAATGTTAGGAATTGTGTCTATAGGTTTACAATGGAAATATTAGTCTTAAATAAGTAGGTTTTAAAGGAGAACAAACAGGAAGGAAAAAGGACACTAAGAAAACTTTGGCCACTGGAAATCCCTTTTATTGTTGCCATAGTACTTACATAGTTGAAATGAAAGAGGTACAAAGGTTTTGTTTCTCCCTTCTTGATAGTAAAAAGAAGAAAATGCTACAGTTATACACAGCCCTCACACTCGAGATAAAATCTATAAAACCTTTTAATGAACAGCTGTTCATTACGTGACCCATGGAGCATTTGAACATTTTATGCAGGATTTGTTACAGTTGAATGCAGGATGTTTTTCAAACAAATACTTGACAGTTAAACAAGTTTCCTTCAGTTGCTGCAGACATATAGGACCTGGCAAAAGTATTCACACCGCTTGTATTTGTTAACTCTTGTATTTTTGTCACATAATGCCAAATTGTGATGTATATTTATTGGATTTTTATGTAGTAGCCCAAGGTGACTGACAAATTTGACCGGAAGATGGATTTAAGTAACTAATCAAATAAAGTTGGTTTCCCTAGATTCTGATCAGGGGATCAGAATACAGAAAAATGCAGGAGATAAAAGATAAAAAAAAAAAAAAAAGAATTAAAAGAAAGACAGAAAGTTGCATCCATGACACCTTTTTTCATAAATACTTTTCTGTGTGTTGGTCTTTCAATAAAAATTCCATAAAAACAATAAAATTTGCAGGTTGTAACATAATAAAGATAAGGTGGGAATAAATACTTTTACAAGGTGCTCCAGTTCCACCTGAGACATTCATTCTGCCTCATATTGGCAACATTATTTATCCTAACAAAGTCAAACAACACAAAAACAGACAGCTAAAACTCAACAACCCAGATTGCATCCATTCATTCCTCATTCATCGCCTTCACTTCCAGCATATATTAGGTCCTCATATCTACTGATTAACATCACTGGAATGTGCTGGACAGGCTGGAGACTGACAGGTAAAAGCAGTTTAAAAACTATACTTCCCATTCTGAACTCTTAGCCCCCCCCCCCCCCCCCCCCACATTAAAAGAACATTTAAATTCTTGTTTCAGAAAGAAGCAGGAACTTTTAAAACAGCTCACATTTATCTGCTCCAAAGCACACTTGAGACAAATAAAAACAACACTAAAATAAGAGCTTAACTAAATTCATAGGGAACTAAAAAGCAGCGCCTTACAGACAGCAGGTGATGTTCAGCTTCGCATTTCCACGTTTCGGTCCTTAAAACGTTTATATTTAGAACAAACCTGGATGAAAACTGGATTCCCATAAAACACGCGCCCAGCTTATCGAGAGCTAGATTTGAAATGCTAAATTGTACATGCAAGTATGTATTTTGAGCCATCGAGTGACTGCATGTTGAGTTACTGGCCAGGGGATTCTCCCGCCGTCTCAACAGAACGTCCTAAACGACCCGTTCAAATGTCGATTTTAAATGGAACCTTGGTGCTGAGAGCTGGCTGGGTCTGCAGCTCTGAGGACAGCTAGTCCACCTTCTTGCTGCGCGGTCGCAGCATGTCCAGCAGGCAGCTGCAGGCAGAGCCGCTGTGCTGCGAGAGCAACGTGAGGAGCTTTCCATGGAGGAGCGTCAGCAGGGTCTGGTGGCCCGTCGCCCACACCCGGTACCAAGGCCCGTAAAAGGGATCGGACACGGCCGGACACAGCATGTTGTTCAGGTTGACCTCCGTCGCCTGCAGCAGAGCGAGGAACAGGTCATTTTCATGTTAATAGCAATTTTTAAAGTATTATCCACTTGGATGAAGTTCTGGCAAATGTCATGGTCACTTAACTGTGCATATCTTTCTAAATCATTAATTTCCCCTGGATTTCTGGAGCAGAAATCCTTCCCACAAATGGAATGAGTGATGAGTTCACCGCCTGGAAGTCCTCTATAACTTATCATTAGTCTGCAGAAACTCATTTAGGGGCCAAATGATTTCACATCTTGTTAGCGCTGCACATTTTCTGACCTTTTTTTCCAATTGCTTGGTTAACTTTATAGCTGAAGACAATTATTTCCCACATTTAAATTTATCTTTAATTATTTCTTCTGATTTTATTACTTGAGTTTAAATATATTTTATTCTTTTGCTACAGAAAGCCCCCAGAATTGATTGATAAAAATAAATGTTAGGCTGTCTGGTTTAAAATTCAAATTATTAACTCTGTCTCATAATAATTTCTCCTTTTAGATCCTCTTAGTTCACATGTGGATCTTTCTGTGTTTTAGTTTTTAGTATAAAAATGGATTGAATTCATCAACAGCACCTGAATAGCTGTGATCATAAGCCTTAACTTCAGAGATCCACCATTGTTCATCTCCCCTTTATCATTCTGAAACAGATCCAACTAAATATTATCAGCAAATACCTTCAAATGGAACTGAATAATAATTTCCTTCCAGAACTCTTACGATTATTCATGACCAAATTCTTGCTTTGAAATCTGCTTTTGGATTTCCATCATTTACAGCATTTTCTTGTTTACTTGCTGAAATGAATCCCCTCCAGAAAAAAAGCTTTTGGTGAGCTCCAAGCAGTTCATTCTGCATACTGAAGTACCAGCTGTGAGCCTGCAGGGGGCTGTGTCTTACCAGGCCAAGGACCTGCAGGAAGGTGAAATGGTAGAAGAACAGGATGCCGGTGGCCAGCACCGTCCACCTTGTGTCCCTCAGCGGTTCGGGTCGGTACACACCTGCAGACAGAAGAAATCATGCATCTGGATGACCAACCCTGGATGCCGCTGCAGCACTTAAGATCAGGGAGGAGTATCTGTGTGCTTCCCTGTTACACTGTATAGTAGTGTAACACCAGAGGAAGAGGTCAGCTAACAGAATCATATTATAAGTGAAAGGATTTTCCCTTCAAGTTAAGAATGACTGGTAAACACATGGCCTCTACATTTATATTTACTTTAACAGCGTTCTTAAACTGCTACCACCACAAGCTGTTTAACTGCTGTTCTGCCATTTACTGCCTTGTATTTTTGCTTTTATAAATACTTCTGTTTATATCCCAGGGTCATTATGTATTTTTTTCCTCCTAGAACAGATAATTCACTTTAAACCAAAAGAACTGATTGAGCTGATAAGAGTTTTGTCTTAAGGAGGAACAGCAATGTTTCTACTTCAGAGGCTGGATGGACTGCTGGCCATATCTAGAAATAGTGAAGCCATCAACCTCTGCAATGCAATTACTGATGTGTTTAGCTTGAACAGAACAGTCTGCATCCTGTTGCTATAACAACTGGAGAAACAAAAACATTTTTTTTTTTTTTAACCACAGAGAGGAGCAATATGCAAAATCTAAAAGGCTTTGATCTTTAACTGATTATACAGACAGCAGGCAAATTACACAGGTCAGCAATCTGTAATCAGATGCTTGTTTACAATAAACATAACGCTGACGTAAGCCGGAACCTCTGAGCTCAGAGTGACAACAAGCTCCTGCAGCATGGCCCAGCGAAAAGGATGTCTGCCATGGCGTAATCCTGGCTCTGCTTGTGTCTGCATGAAGAGAGACCACACACTAACACCTACCTCCTTTCCTCATAAGGTAAACAGGCACCAAGTACATCATGGAGTGTTGAATGTAGTAGATCTCCTTCTCAAAGGGAAGCTGAGGAGCAAACAGAAACACGCTTTAAACTTCTCAAATTACATCAACACTTCATAGATTTTAAACTAGCCGTGCAGCTGAACCAGGGGTGAGATCAGATATGGCCGCACACCGTTATAGTAAAAAAAAAACAACACGCAAATAAGCTCTCTGAAGCCATACTTCCTCGCTTGGGAATGTGATGAAAACAGGACCTATCTGCTTTACATAAACGTCTTTGATGCTAACGGCAGTCGATTTGCATGGAAGTGGAAGTTCAAACTATGGAAGCCTCTTTTCACAAACAGATTCTCATTAGCTGAAAAGACAGAAGCTGAAGAAACGGTTAAACTATTAATGCACATTCGTCTGACTGGAATCTCATTTTACCTCGAACATCAAATCAACACATTTACAGTTTGAATCGGATGCTGCTTCAATTGTGAAAATCCACCCCTCCCATACCATGATACTACAACTAGCTTTACATCTCTTAAAATCACACAAAAGTACGAAGTAAGCGCTATAAATGTATAAATCATGGCTCTGAAGTTGTGTTTTTTTTTTGACAGTAGTGAACAATGTACTCAACAGTTGTACTTGAGTAAAAGCATTGATACTCATTGTCAAATCTTACTCAACTACAAATAAAAGTTACTCTGTCAAGTTAAAGCATTAAATTACTCACTTTTTTAAATACTAAAAGTATTCAAAAGTACATGCATTTAAAAGTAATTCAGTATTCAAAAATACTAATTAAATATTCTAACATCAGTACATTTCTGTATAATTTCCAGTCATTTTAAAGAATCTTGTAACTTTTAGAACCAGATTCTACAGATTCTACACCACCTGGAAAGAACTACAGCATAAAAATGCCACAAAACTAAGGACAGCTATTTTGATTATTATTTCTTAATTAAAACTAAGAAAAGAGTCTTGACTCTCCTCGTCATATTTAATAGAGGTTTAATGTTGAATCTATTACAGAAAATAAAATAAAACTCTGCTTTGAGAACTCATCTGACTGAACAACTTGGCCACCAGGCAACAACTAATGCCTTAAGAAAATTTGTATACTAGTAATAATATCTGCCCTGAGTTTCTCACTTCTGTTGAATATCATGCAAATCTCTAAAACAGTGGTGTCCAAATTCAGAAATTCAGTCCTAGAAAAACAGCAACAGGAAATGACAAAGTGAAGCTCAATCAGTAACTAGCAGCTTAGTAGCAATGTAGTGGAGTAGAATGTACAATATTTGACTTTGAAATAGCGGAGTGATACTTATACGTACACCCCCTCCGAAAAATAAATTTGTACTCAAGTAAAGATACTCAAGTATAGTAATCAAGTAAATGTACTTTTCTACTTTCCACCACTGCTAGTGGCTAATTCCTGACTTATTATGATTCCCAAATATCAACTAGGCTTTAATTTACATGTGCTGTTATTTCTGTTAAAAGCAAAATTAAATTAGGCTTTCTATAAGCACAAACAAAAATGTTATTAACTAATTAATCATAACTTAATATGACATTTATAAAACAGAAATCCAGACTGACACAAGAAAAATATTTATTTATTTTCTATATGTTTAACAAAGATCTATTTTCCCCACAATTAAATGCATTCAAAATAAAAAGGTAGAAATGAAATAATGTGAGAATTTGATACTTTATAGAAAATAAACAATGAAACTGATGGTATTCTACTTTCATGTTATTGTTGCTTTGACAGCAAAAACCTCTGAAAGGCAACTGTTTCTGCTTCCTTGAAGCTGTAATTTGTGACTTCTCACATTACTGTTCATACATTAGAACATTTTGAAACGCATGAGAGGAAATAACATGAAATATCACTGTGAACTTTTACTCACCAGCCTGGTGTTGACGACGGGGAACATTAACGCCAGCAGTGCTCCATTCAACATGTGGACATGCAGCCTGGAAAGATGAATAAAAGGAGGATACAGGAATTCAAATCTTAGTATTCCACTGAGTTTCTATGAAACTGACATTTAAATTTCAAGTGGTTTTATAAGCTGGGAGCAGAAAGGGAAGACATATTTAGTAGTTTGTTCCGATTTAGATCAGATTCTGATGAGTGTTTGTTAAATGTCAGATATCCAGTAGTTGAGCCTTTGGAGAACACGGATTCTTCTGACAAACGTTTCCTTTAATCACGTTAATAAACAGGAGCTGAACGAAACGGCCTTTAAAGCCAGAGGCTTGTGTCAAATCACAGTGCGACACGCAAACTGCTCTTTTTTACCCAATGAGCCAAAATAACTGTTGTGACAGCTAAGGTCATTGGGAAAACAGAAGAGCTGTAGGACTGTCACTTCTAATATGGCCAGCTGCCACTCTGAACGGCCTCAGGACCTTTTCTTTTTAAGAAACAGCGGATTTCATTCCAACTTAAACACTGTTTCCGTCTTCGTAATATAAAACAGGCAGCATCAGAAAAACAAGACTTTCCATGTAACCAGATCTCTCTTTTATTCCACTGTACCAATAGATAAACAAGCTGCTTTGTGCAGCATATTTAAACCACAGCTCTGCATGTACAAATTAGGGCTGAAACAATCTGATTAATCGTGATTAATTGATTATTGAAATAATCGCCAACTAATTTAGTAATCGATTAGTCGTTAACTAGAGTAGAGACTCTAAAACATGCCTTTAGCTGAGAGAGCAACCCCCTTTAAGCCGCAATTAGACCAAAATTGTAAAAAAAAAAAATATAAAAATTTTGCATTTAAGAGAAAAAATATTATTTGAATGGTGTATTATTAAAAATAATACGCAATGCTTAACATTTGTAAGCATGGTGTAAGTGCATGATGCTTAACATTGTAAGGTTGTTGTCTGATGATGTTATTGGATAACATTTTATTTCAGAACATGAATGCAAGATACTTGGACAAAAACACTGATGCGGTCCTTTGGGACTATGACATCACCACATTAATATAGCATTGAGGACTGTGTTGGCTTAAATATTTACAGAAAACAAAATCTAAAGGTCTGAATGTTGTTTGACTAAAAGCAATAAAAACCTTTGGTGCAGACTATCACAAAGTTTTATTGTTTTTAACCATCTCTACCTGAAATAAGTCCATATTTTTACCAACTGCATGTTTTTTACGCCATACTGGCTGCATAAAGGGCGGATTATACTTCTGCAACCGCACACATCAAATGTCGCATGGGTCTGGCTGCGAACCAGTTTTGATGGTTTGCTTCTGCAACGTTGGTCTGGAATTTCTAGGGGCACAGCAGTTTCCCGCCAAAAGCGCAAGGGGGAGCCTATTTGAGAACTTCGGCGGATGGTCACGAAAACTTCCTCGGTGGCGCCTGCGGGAGTGTTTATCTTCCCAAAAAACAATGGCCCATCTGGAAGATATCACGGTCACTGAGATGGATCTAGAGTATCCATTGTTGTTATTCCTCGGGTTTTAAAAAGGGCACGCCCCGACACCGAAATGAGAAGAACGACCATAAAGACAGCCGGAAAGGCATACCAAAGACCAATCACAGCTGCTTTTTGTCTGCGCAATTCTGCTTGAGGTCTGCACGGGTTTGGGAGCATCCAACGTGTAGTCAGGATTTTTCTGAGGTGCGCGAGGATGAATGCAGATCCTCTGCGCTGGGGGCATGGTCACGCACAGAGACAGATTTGACGGTTGCAGAAGCTATGTGTCAGAAGTATAAATTGGCCTTTACATTCGCCCCATAGATTGAAACCCTCTTCAGTGTGGAAGATGTTACCAGAGGAGAAAGGGTAAAAGGAAGTCATGGTCAGAATTAGTGATGCATTTAGGGGGAGACCAGGAAGTACTCCAACTTCTTAAAAAGAAACTAAAATACTGAAAACTGAAAAATGGAAACACATCCGTCTCAGCTGCAGCACTAGATTTAATATACTCTATGGATCATGTCTGTACTGAACTAGAGTAAGTTTTTTAACTTTACTTCCACTGTTACACTTCTAGAAAAATAAAGCTAATCAGGTTTGGAGGTTGGAGGGGTCCGAGGCATTAATGTGGCTGTGCTCTGGGCCATGTTATTTGCTCCTTGTTCAGAATGAGGTCAGCGAATTTGCTGTGAATGTAAATGCAGCCATCAGCCCGAAACGATCCTGGCAGAAAGACGTCGCAGGGGAGAACTAGCATGGCGAATCCCCCTTCTTTTGGGGTCTGAAGATTGATGCTTTCAATCCCAAGGCGACGCAGTCCACCAAGCCAACAATGTAGCTCTTTATTCACAGGTATGCGTTTGGTCTGCTTCCACTGCATATGGACCAATATAAGTGTCTTTGCACAGAAACTTAAACATGAGAAAAACCCAAAGCTCTAAAGAACTATAGTGAGGAAGGGAAACACATCAAATTTAGCTTTTTTCAAATGAAAGATTTTCTGTAGCAGCTCCTACAAAGATTCACTGAATATAAGTGGAGAATTATGCAGAGTCTGACAGCCGATATTCAGGAGGGCGTCCATGCAGGATGTTACTGTGGCCGGTCTAGATCCGTTTGCCTCCAGCTTCTACTGCTTTACAGAGGTGACCATCTGCCCTAAACGCCACCTGAGTGTAGAATGCCATGAAGGACAGAACACTGACTGCTGTACTTCGACACGATCGTCCCAGGGTATTTCAATCTCACCACATGCAATCCTGACATCTGTCGGTTATTTCACAATGGGAAATATTCAGGACGTTAACAACTTTTAGTACTATTGAGATTGTCTTCTTTCTACACATTTCTCTTTACCAAGGTTAATTTTTGCTGCAATTCTGCCTCTTTTTTTTTTTTTAACCAAACAATACTGCCATTTGGACCCTATCACTCTGGAAGAGCTGCTGAGCTAATATACCAGAATTTATTATCAGGGCACCTATTACTCACGCACACAAAACCTTTGACATTTATACGTGCCATTGACTTTTACAAGACAGTAGTTTGATTAAACCAGGCTCTTGGTCATAAAGTTGCATAGATTCACATTACATACATAAAAAAAAACAAAAAAAACCCAAATATATATATAAAGATATACACATATATATACATATATATATATATATATATATATACAAATATACATGTATATATATATACATATACAAATATACATGTATATATATATACATATACAAATATACATGTATATATATATATACATACATATATATATATATATATATATATATACACATATATATATATATATACACACACATATATATATATATAAATCTTCTACTGCTTGTCTGTCAGGGTCATGGGGGCTGGTGCGTATCTCAAATCACCAGACCACTGCATTCGAGATGTAAGATATAAGACACCAAGTAGACCTGTATCATTTGTTCACAGCATTTATGCTGTTCAGATGTCAGTTATCCAAAGCTAACTTGTCAGCTGTTTAAGCTTAGTATTAAAAAGCTGCATTTTGAGATGAAGCAGTTTTGCTAAATATTATTTAATAATAATTTTAAACTGTTTACAAATGCAGTCTCTCCCTGCCTTTACAACAACTGGGCCGCTGTCACAGAAACGCGGCTCAGGTCCGGCTCGCCTCCAAGCAGAGTTTATTGAAAGGAAATAAACTCGTTGCATTTTCCTTTCAGTGGGCCAGATGTTTAAGGGGCAATATTTCATATTTTTCCATTTGGAGTGAACATACGTGCATCGCCTTGCTGTAACTGCTAACCCCTCACTGTGATTGTTCTCTGTGCCGAGCGACAGAGTGACTCTGCCAGGATTTATTTCTGAATAAATTCCAATGCGAAACCATCTCATGAATAATTAACCTCTAAGACCAGAGGAGGTTTAAAGGAAAGGACTATAAACCCAAACGAAAGCATTACTATAAATCCCTGAAAGAATCAATGCACTCCAGCAAAGCCTATAAGTCATAACAATCAGTGATAATGACGATAGCTTTAGGACGGAAATAAAAAGTCATTGGAATGAATTCCAATGGGTCTGTCCAAGTGCTCCACAGTACATCCACATTACATTCATGCTTTGTGAGTAGAGGTCGCCACTGACAGCTTTATACTGCAAGTGGATAGCATAAAATAAGAAAGTCTGGCATCGATTATAATCATTGCTGCCAACAAATTGAAATCCAGAATAAAAGGAAAGGGAGTAAAAAAAAAAAAAACTTACCTAAAGACAACCATTGCTGTTTTACATGGTGGGCAGGCCAGCAGGAAGATCTGTTGAAGAAACCACAAAGTGAGATGACGATCACACAAAGCATTCAACTCAGAGGGTCAATAGGAACATGAATGTGTTAAGAGCTCTATGCTCTTAATGCTGCGAGTAAAAAGGGTTTGCACTAAAGTAGCCGGAGCCAAGACCTTGAAGAGATCATTCCTCAGGGATCGGCGTAAAATCGATAAAAGACGCATGAAGGAGTCTGGAGGAGCCCCAGACAAACAATGACGACTCAGACTGAGTGTAAAACCTTACAGAGGTTGTTAGAGAAAGTCTTTATCTAAAAAGCTAAAGTAGATCAGCTTTCTCTGGTTTCACTTTCTAAAATTACCTAGAATCCATTTAACACAATCCTCACGATGTTTCTTCTAAAGTCTAAAAACATTTTCTTATAATATCCAGACTGTTTATATTGTGTAACGAAAAGCCCCCAAATAGGAGAGGTATTAAGTTTAATTTATGAACATCCACAAGATTAGACCCTTGTTTAGTTTTAAACCCCTTCCTCAAAGCGTTTAACTCTGGCAGCCATCGCTTTGATATCCACAGGAGTCCTGGTTCAACGCCTCTGAAGGGTAGCCTGGTTTGTGACAATATTTGCAGTCTAAAAGCAGAGTACTTTTGTTTGTTTGCTGGGTCGATTAAAACAAGCTTGCAGTTACTGCCTTATGGATCTCAGCCTCAGCTTTGCCAATATGTTTACCACTGCTATGTTTACACCTTCCAGATCTGGTAAAACTACCTTTCAATGACATCGGCAATAAATGCTGTCATCTAAAAGGACAGGGCGAAACTGGCGTCGGGTGCAAGAGTTTGCCCTTTGAGCGGTTTGAGCCCCAGCTCTGGCTTTCAGTGTCATTGTGTCCTTGGGCAAGACACTTCACCTGCATTGCCTAATGATGGTGGTCAGAGGGCCCGTTGACACCAGTGTACGGCAGCCTTGCTTTTGTCAGTGAGGGGAGCTACACTGTAGCCCAGGGCAGCTGTAGCTACAGTGCAATTTGCCGAAATCAGTGTGTGAGTAAATGGGTGAATGACTGAATGTTGTGTAGAGAGCTTTGGTCAAGTCTTCTGAATTGAAAAAGTGTTCTATAAGTACAGGTCATTTACCATTTAAAATCCAAAGAAGCATCAGAAATCTGTAATAATTCAACAAACTTTTGTGGGAGATTAATAAATTAAAATGACATATGTGGATGTAACAATGATGATGTGACTGTGATCTGATGACCTATGCTGAGGTCAGAGGCATTAGGTTTGTACGGTTGTAGCAGCCGCAAAGGGTCAAAGTCCATTATTCCTATTCTTAATTTATACCCCTTTTGGAAATTTTATATTACAACATTATAGAACCAAACTAACCTCTTTAATAATTATCTTTAGAAAATGATATACATTTGCTTTTACTCCCACTGGAAACCAAAAGGATAAGACTAATGACAAATATTAAAAATTTTTGCTTGTAAAATCAGGTATAAAAACCTCCCCTATGTGGATACAAATAAATTAATACTTAGTATAAAATACACCTTTCATAGAGGAAGGATGTGTGCAGAAATGCAGTAGCATTGAGTTTCGTTTCTATGATGAATGGGGAAAGTGGGAAGTGACGTATGCCTTAAAGTGGTCTGCACATTTGTGGTCGTTTTGTACGGCACATTTACTGCTACTCCCCTCAAAGTTGCTTGGGGTGGGTAAATACGGCGATACAGGCCCCCTCAGGCCATAGCAGAGGTGTCATTATCCATATATAATCTTAATTTTATGAAGGTTAGTGTTGGGTTAAGGTTATGCACTTTAAATAGCACCGCTTCAGTATAAAGTGGAGATTCTGAGGTTTCCCCAGAACTGTAGCACTTTACTATGTATGAACCGGGTCTGGATGAGAGTAAGGCTGCGTGCATATTCTGATCTTAGCATCAAAGGGAATATAAAAGTGACACAGCCAGGTTGTAATCTTGCTTGGAGAAGATTTAAACTCAGTTTTCCATGACAACTGTATGAATCCAAAGGTGTTTTTTGGAGATAGAAACACATCTGAAAACACGAGTAGGACTAAAAAGATAAAATCAAAGGAGGAAATGTAAGGCTTGCATCTACTCTATGCTTTTTTTTAAAAGCAGCATCTAATTAGTTTGGACAGTCAGCTAGATAAACCGGTTTAATTTGGTTTGAGCCACAAAGTTTTCCAGTCTTACAAAAGAAGGAAGTTGATGAATTGTGTAAGATCTCATCATCAGAGAAAACTATAATCAGTTTTCTGTAATATATTGCATATGTGCAATCATTGTGACAAAGTCTCCTCTGTCCTTGCATGCAGGGAGAGGTGGAAACAGAAAGTCAGTTAATTACAGAGTAAATGGCACGTATCAAACAACACTAAATTATTACATCACTGGCTTGCCTCCACCTTTAATTCAAATGTAGATGCAGAAAAGCAACAAGTTGGAGAATAATTTGAAAGAGATCAGGTCAGAGGTTTACATCTAAAAGGGAGGTTAAAAAAATGCACCTAATGTGAATTTAGTAAACTAAAAACAGAAAAAAAATATCTAAAACATCCAACAATATCCAAAATATTGTCTGATGAACAAAACAGGGTGATTTTCAGACTTTTTATCACTGGTGGCTAATGGAAATGTAAAAACCCAATCTTTTAAGGGACCCATGAATGCAGCATAGCTAATGCGATGGGAAATTGTGACCACACTCTCACCAAAGAACACTCAAAGTTTAGCCATTGGAAAACACTTCAAATGGCAGCTGTTTTTAAAAGTTATTTTACAGGAACTGTTTTTGCTCTTCCAGCTGCCAGAGAGACAAATGTCGGCCTTTAAACGGATGCATGGGTTCCCTCTGTGTTCTCACCCACAGTTCAAAAATATGCCCCTTATGTTAATTGGTCTCTCTAAACTCACCCTTAGGTGTGAGTGTGAGTTTGCATAGCCATCTGTCCTCTGTCCAAGGAGTGCCCCCACCTCTTATCCAATAATTGTTGAGAGAAAGACCAACCCTAAATGGCAAAGAGCATAGATATCCATAATAAAGGCTAGATGTCTTACGGCGGAGTCTCAAACGTCATCACCGGGCGGCCATCTTACCACAGGCAGGCTTTCTGTTGTGCTCTGTGGTACCTAATGTAAGGTGAGTGATCAGCACGGACACAAATACTCTTATCTCATTGAATTCTTGACGGATTTACAAACAGTTTGGTTTCTTACAAACGTTATGAACGTGGCTATAATTCTTGATGCTTGAACATGTCGAAATTGCAGATTTTCTTGTCGAAAAATGACTTGATCGTGCAGCATAGTTGTGCATCACGGTTACTTGCGCAATTTATCAATAACGATTGTATGACAATTAATCTTTAGTGTAAATTACAATATTTGTGGATGTGGTTGTAGCTATTAGTTGGCTAATAACAATAATCTGAGTGTTGTTGTATTTTCATTATTAGCCTAACGTTAGCTGGCTAATAACAAGAAGCTGCGAAGTGAGACCTAAAGTTAGTAAGTTAGCAGCTAACGTTACAGTTTAGCTAGCTGCTAACGTTAACCAGCAACTTTGCATCAGTGGAAGAGGCAGAATTTATACATGATTAATGCATGATTTCCAATCGATTTGGTTTGTCAAAACATCTTACATTATGTTACAGGAATTTGCTGGGTCTATTAATAGGAAGATGCCAGACTTTTGTGCAGCCTACGGATGCTCCAATTGCCGTAGTGTCAAAACGAGTGCCAGTGGGATCACCTTTCACATGTAAGATATGAAATTATGATTGGTTTTTGGGATAATCGTTAGTTAATTAGTGGATGTATGTACAATACAGGCTCTGGTACACAGGAACAGCGGGGCTATGACTTAATAGTATTACAAGATTGCCAATAGTCAAAACCTGAGGGAAATCGATGGTATTATGAGGGAAAAAGATAAATGTTCCCTTAATTTCCCCATGGTTATTTTAAGTTATTTTAATAATACAACTCTTATTTCAGGATTTGTTGTGCGACGGGCTCTGAAAAAGCTGTCCTGTGATGTCTGCCGTGCCAGCTTGGTAACAGATGCTGCATCTGCCATCAAGGACCAGAACTACCACCTGCTGAAGTTAAAAAACAATGGAGTTCTGGTGATTCCATCAGAAGGCACAGTGATGGTAGTCAGGGCAGCAGGGTGGGTTCTTCGTCAGACCTCATGTACCAGACGATCACAGCCCATCAAAGTGCTAGAGGTCGTGTACATTGTACGGAAGAGGATAGGGTCAGAGGATGTGTTTGTGCTTGGAGAGCACATCGGAGAAACGCAGTATGGCATAGACAGCCACCACCATACGCTGTTAACATTGGTTGTGTCCTTGTTTTTTAAGTTAAGGCTGCACCACATTGCCAAAATAACCAACCTTGGCTTACAGAGCAACAACATGCGACAGAAACACAATAAAACCGTCCTTTTCAAAGGGCATTAACCAAGCTATGTTTTTTGGGTCATTTTTTCATCTCTGTCTTCCATGTGTATACCATCACAGTAGTGTAGGTGGGGATTTCAACATGCTACATCTATATATACTTGTGAAGGGGACTATTGCACCAATTTTAATAGCAAATAAATTTCACTTTTATAATGGTTTAAAAATAGGAACTTTTGTGTAATTACTGATATATAATCCGAATAGTCTACATGAAACTTCACAGTGCAACCTTTAATTTGAAACCTGGATTATGCTTCTACACCAAGAGGTTGCCACACAATAAGCCTTTTTTGTCAGTATTTCAAATTTATTATAACAGTAATATTTATATTATAAAAGTATTTATGTAAATATAAATAAATTAGGACTGTGAAATAATTAATCACACTCAAATAAAAGTGTTTATATATATATATATATGTATTATAATATATATATATATTTTATATACAATATATATATATTATTTATATTATATATATATATATATTTTATATATATATACAATATATATATATATTGTATATA